GACAATTCAACTAGTAGATATCTAATGTGTGTGGGGGGGCGTGGAAATTTTATTGTAATCCAAAGGGGGGCCCAGAAGAAAATCTTTGGGAAACACTGGTCTAAGGAAACATTGTCTAAAAAGCAGACATCAAACAACTCCTAAAGACCAAAGGCCACCAGACCTGATTTAGCTTCTAATCTGATGGAAAATAGGATTATATAAAGTCATTGCAATTGCATGCAGTTGTAAAGAACTGGGCCAACAAGATGGCTCATGATTTTCAGCAACTGTGCCTATGTACAAGTAGTTGAGAACTAGAGAGACCCGTGGTCTATCTTAGCAAAGCATATGCAGCATTTGGAGGGGAATGTTATGATTATGACACAAAGATATGTTTGTAAAGTAAAACATATCATCTTTGAATTTTCTGTTAATGCCAAAATTTTTGAAATTTGGGAAATCATTGAAGCCTCTGTAAATTACTCTTTATAAAATTGAGTAAAAAACATATTTTACAATCGTTTCATTGCTGGTAAAATAAGTTTGAAATATTATGACATATATAAGTATTGTAATATTCAAGGCTGGTTAATGGGTCCAGTTTAGTTACAGTTGTTTTAAAGTTTTAATCCCAGTATCCTTCACCACATAACTATTTTATTCTGAACAAAAGGTAAAAGAAAATGATTTCAAAAGCAAATTTCCAATAACTTCTGTTTCTCTGCAAAAACATTTAAAAGGGAAATAAAGGTGGACTCCAGCTGCCAAAAGTGTGAACACAAACAAAGGTTTGATATTGAAGCACATTTGATTAAATTAATCACTACTGGATTCAAATCTTTATTCATTTAAAAATGTTTCTGTTACAGTACGAATGAAGAAGAGGTGTTTTATGAGAAACTTAAAAAGGCAGAGTGAGTATTTCTTTGTTGTTTATCTTTCACGCAATAAAGAAAGCAAATGAGAACAAAACTCACTAAAGTAACCAGCTGTGCTCCAGCTGTTATCTGATCAGTAAATGACTCCATCCATAGGTCTGCTCTGAAGCAGAAAGAAGAAGAACTAAGATCATTCAAACAGAGGTGGTGTAAAAACATCAAGAGCTAAAACAGCTTTAGAACATGTTCCAAATATCATTGTGAGACAAAGTCTCTAGATTTCTGTTGTCTCTGTGTGAACAGAGTGGCTGCAAATGTGGCTGTGTCATTAAAGACATCAAACACTGAGAGCATGAACGACCCAGTCAGTAAAACCAGACTGACTGAGATGTACGACAACCTGAAACTGCTGCAGTGGCCTAAAACCAAAGATCAGCTGAAGTCCAGGAACGTCGGCCCAAAGGAGGCCAAGGATCTGATCCAGGTGCAATAGATTCTCAGAAATACATGACTCTGTAGTTTATTCAGCTGCTGCAGGTTCTTTGGTCTAAACTTTTATCTGATCTTTCCAGAAAACCTTTGGAGCTGCATCTGAAGAAATGAGGAAAAGGAGGCACCAGATAGAAGATGTGTTTGGACTGGCAGAGTCCACCACAGGAATGACCCCTCAGAAGGTACTGGACTGTAGATCTGATTTCTTCACTGGATCCTGAATGGAGCTAGTAGAGTTAGACCTCTTCCAATTCCCAATGGTCCCTTTGTTCCAGGTTCAAGAGTTCAGACAGCTGACAGTTCAGAACCTGCAAATGGCGCTGTTCAACAGCAGCAAAGAAGATCTTTTGAAGGTAGGTTGGATAGATGTTTAAGCTGCAAACAGGAAAAACCTCCTTTGCGGAATCTTAAAAGATTCCATTGGTAACTTTGAACATTTCCTCTACAGAATGGTTTCCATGGACATGGAGGTCCGAACTTAGAGAAGATGGAGGCGGATCTGAGGTCTCTGACCTCTGAGTGCTTCTGGTTGGGATGCTTGATGGCTCTGAACAATCCTCCACTTCAGCCTGACTGGAAGAACCACGTTCCTTCCATGGATCCTTGGGACATTTTCCCTAGAAATATTAACTTTTCACCTTCTTCAAATTAAAGGCCTTTCATCTTCCAATAGCAACAACTTTAAATCAAAAATTTTCAAAAAGAATTACTTAAATGCCTTGTTTGTTTAGCCTACCCACTTAAAGCAACTGATTTTTATTCTTCCCCTTGTTAATTATGGTGTCTTAACTTTACTGTATAAGAGCTAAGAAGGTTAGATTAAACTAATTTTATTTTTAAAAAAGTATGTTGTCTTAGGTGCAAGGGTTTTAAGAGGAGTCTTTCAGAAAACTAGATCAAAAAGTAAAGTTTGACTCAATTTTCAATTCCCAATTTTCAAATTTCCACCTCTCTGAAGTGGAAAATAACAAACTGTCCAAAAATAATGCATATTACTGTGAATTTATAAAGTAAAAAAATGTACCTTAAGCTTTCAGGAGTATGTTTTAGATTCAATGTATTCTTCAAGAACAAGAAAGTTGAAATAAATGGTACATTTTTCAAACTTTCATGTCATGCTGACTAATATGTTCTTTAAAAAATATTTTAGAGATCCTAGAATCTAGATCATAAACTTAACTTGGTATTGCCAACTAAAACTATACATGGCTATGAGGAAACCAAACTTTAATGTTGGTACTTACATTTCAACTAATGAGAAAGGTCTATGGAGGCAAAAATAGTTTTTTTTCCTCCCAGTTACATCCAAAAAACAACATGGTGATCAACAATGTGCTTTTACTCTGCAAAACCAGTCACACATCTCAGAATTACCAACTATGTTTCAAATTTTAAGTCAGAGAAAATGAGAGTTTATATTTAATGGGATCATTCATATTAGATCACAGCAGCAAAAAACCTGAAAGCAAAGAGCATGTGTCCATAAGGGAACAGAAGAATCTGATCAGGTATGACAGAAACTGTCAGGCCACAGTAGTATTTTATCCGGAGTCTGATCAACCTTATCAAAGGGTTCCACTGGATGTGGACAGCAGCAACCCTAGTCAGAAAGTTTCACAGGGCATGCCGCAGCACGTTTTTGAGGTGTCCCAGATACGTCCAGTTGCTCTACTGTTGCCACCTCTATTCAATTTCAGTCTAAAGCTGAGCGGATCATTCAAGGAGGAAGTCAGTGAATAATAAGCAAAGTAGAACTGGTCGAGTTTAAAAGTAAAAGACCACATGAGCAAACCTTGGACAACATTTTCTTATTCTTTATGTTTAAAAAATTATGTTCATGCAGTTAATCCACAACCATAATAAATATGAGCACAGAAATAAAACAACTGAAAAAGCAAAATATTTGAACTCACGTAGAAAAAAATTTAATGTGTGAAATTTTTTCCAAATCCTTGGAAACAATTTAAGGTGATTAGAAAAAAAGCAGGAGATCATGAGATGTTTGTCGCACCACTTTACTGACTTGCCCATTCAAAGTACATCCATGCACATTGTGTTTCACTTTCCTCTAATAAATGCTCCTCTTGGAATAGGCTGTCTTGGCAAAGGCCATAGTGGGTCTGCAACACATTGCTTTCGCACAACTTCAGCCAAAATTTCTCCACTGTGAGATCAATAAATTCTATTTTATCGTTTCTTATCTGAACTTATCTCATCTCTTATGGTAGTTATCATTAACAGTGTTGGGCACGTTACTTTGAAAAAGTAATTAGTTATAGTTACTACAGTAGTTACTTCTCCCAAAAAGTGACTGAGTTACTAACTGAGTTACTCCACAATAAAAGTAACTAGTTACTAGTAAAAGTAACTATTGCGTTACTTTTGCGTTTCTCGCCCCCGTAACCCTCACCACCCAGCCCCCACCTTCTCGCCGTGTGTTTCTAAAGCCATCTGAATAGAGAGGACGACAAAGACAAGAACCTGCAGAGTTTTGCATTTATTGCAACTCAATGTAAATGACATCAGGGGGAACGCCATGTGAAGTTTTTTAACAGGGCGTTCAGATCTGCTGAGTATATGAAATTAATAACTGGGGATGTCTAATTCTGAAATCCTGTGTGTTTGGGTTGTTATAGATACTGCAACATCTATCTATCCATCTATCTATCTAGATGTATACTCTGTGTGTGACATAAAATATGGATCCCTGCCATCAAATAATGTTTAAAATACAAAATACGCCCATCACTGATCACTGATCATTAAGGGCCACAATATCTTTATAACCACAGTAAGAACATTCCCTCCTAATGTTCCCATTTGCAAAGTCTTCCAGCAGCAAGGGCACGTCCAGTGGGGTGGTCCAAGGGGAACGGGCTACCCCAGCAGTCAGAGAGTCCACACCATGTGCCCCCGAAAAGCTAAGACGACCAAATTTGATATGAAATCAAATGTAAATTGACATTGCCACTGACTGTGCAGTGTTCATAGATCCTGCTATTAGAAACTTTCCTGGTTTACATAATATTCGCTGATTAATTAGAGTTTAATTGAAATGGGGGTATATAAAACTGCAGAACAACCCTGGAAAACCAGTCCTGGACAAGTTTGAACAATAGTCAAGGTTTTGTTTGTTTCTGTCAGAACCAGCTAGTAAGCACAGTAAAACAGAATAGCAAGAATGAAAATAATCTCAAAATATTCAGAAATTATTTGCTAAAAAGTGTAAAAGACAGGAAGCAAAGAAAATTGTCAAGGAGAGGTGGACTGAGCAGCAGTTGCCAGTTGGTTTGGCAAATCGTGGTATGTGAGCATGAGAATAGAAAAAAACAAGGCAGGGATTTTTCTACTCTACATACATATGTGGTGTCAACTAGGGGTGTAAATCACACCCATCATGGCGATTCAGTATCGATTTCCTGACCCAAGGATTCGATTATTTTCGATACTCAAGAATACACCACAATACGATTCAATTCGATAAATTGTTTTTTTTTTGCTTTTTTTTTTACACCTTACATGCTAGAAAATGTTTCAAAATTGAAATAAATCAATGAAAGCTGTAATATCGTTATGCATTTTGTTTTAAAAAACAACAGCAAATAACAGAAGTAGAAAAGTTTTACTCCACCTATTCCTACTAAAACCTCATTCACTGAAAAATAATAATACCCCTTTGTTATAGATTCTGAAAGGCTTTGCATCAAAAAATACTGCACATAATCAGTGCAATGAGTGCAATGCAATACCTCGGCTCCAGACGTCCCCGCCCCCTCCACAGATGCTCCACCGCACCTCTCCCAAATTGTAGCTGACCGCAAACAGTGCCGCAGACAGGAGGCCGGCTTGTTTTGTTTTTATGAAAGAAATTGCGGAAAACAACTCGTGAAGTTTAACCTCTAGAATAGCAAGGTGCGCGAGAACGCTGGAACCCTTTTTCCACCTGGATCCCCACTCTTTTTGGCCCTCATGTCCCTCCGTCGTCGGACTAAACTCGCCCCCACTTCCTCACAGCCTTGGCCGTATCTAGACCCAAAGTGTAGCACAGACCACGCTTCAATATTGAGCATAAATCAAAAATGTCTGTGTCAAGCTTACTGCAACACACTGCTGCAGGAGAATAACCAGGGAGCGAGGTAGGAGGGCAAAATATGTTTAGCGCCACCGCAGCACGGGAGGGAGAATTACGCCCAGGAGCAAATGGCTAAAAATAGACCGGGAGGAAAAAAAAAACACGAATTGATACTCTTGCGAACATGTCGATGCATCGGATCGTCGACTGTTGGATCCATACAAAACAATTATTATTTACACCCCCTAGTGTCAACCTATAAGGATGTATCAAAAACAGAAGACAATATTCATAATCTGGAATGCAGATATCAATCTTAATTATTTTAAATAAAAATAAAATATGACACTGGCCATATATTTGCAGTAAGAAATAGTCTTTTTTTCATAGGGGAGGATGCCACTGGTTATCGGTATGTCAATAACCAACCTTGCTTGTTCTTTATAATTGCAGGAGGCTGCAGTCCTCACGCAACAAGAACAGTTTTTTCCCATCTGCTACCAGCTTAATCAATAAGGCCCAGAGACCCCCTTGACACTGACATTACCTCTCTCCCTCTGCCTTTTTTGTATGCAGTATATTGTTTGCTTTATGTTGTATATAGCTATAGATTCTGTATTCTGTATATATATCAAATTTGTCTGCACCATCAACACCAAGTCAAACCAATCTTAAGTGCAAACCTACTTGGAAACAAACTTTATTCTGATGGAATTACTAAAAGGGGAACTGTGGCCCCTCCTTTGCCCCCCACCTTAGATAAACCCCAGTTTGACGATATTTCATTTCAAATAACATGATAACCTGATTTAGCTGGGGACATTTATAATGATGTGTTTGTTACACATTTTGGTACCTTGATGACAGAGAGAGGGGGCCAATATAAAAAACAGATATTTAATTTGCTCCAGGTGGATCATCTAAAAAAGCAGTCCTTCTAATTGTCAATCATTCTGGTGATATGTTTACGTAGATGGATTTTGAAACACCTAGCTGGTGCAGCTTGAACACATCGTCAGTGAAGTACCCAGGGCCATACGGTGTTTCGGGTCTTTGATCTTCAGACACCCTCGTCTGGGTGACCCAACTGCTGCTAGCCATGCCTTTAGCTTTACATGGGCTGCCTCCACTGCTGCTTTGTCCTTCAGGATGCTATCGAAGATCTTCCCTAAGCTCTTCACAGGCTTCTCTGACACTGCCGGAATTGGGACTCCATCCACATAGAAGCGGTATTTGTCCTCCACTTTCCCATTCCTCAGGACAAGGGATCTGGACGTGGCTGACTTAAACATCATCCTTGCCCATGCCATGATCCTTTCCAGACCATGGAGGAGCCACCGGCATCCAGTCACTGATGTCGATTTGACAGTCAGGTCATCTCTGTAGGCCCTAATTGGTCCAGAATGCCGGATCTGGACAAGGGGCCCCTGCATTCTACTTCTGCAGCCTTGACCAGCATGTTCATCGCTAGGGCAAACAACACCACTGACATTGTGCAACTAGTGATAATGCCCTTCTCTAGGCAGTGCCATGCAGATGTTGTTGTTCCAGAGGTGAATCTCAAGCTGAAACTACTGTAGTAGTCCCATATGAGTTCAGTGATCTTCTCAGGGACGTGGTATGTTGTCAGAGCTTTTGACACAAGCTTGTGTGGAATAGATCCTTAGGCATTTGCGAGGTCTCCTCGCCTCCCGGATCAGCTGGGTGATCACTTCTGCCTCTGTTTGAACACAATTTACATTCAATCTTTTAATGTTATCTGTAGTGTGTGGCTGTGGGTTTTAATAGAAATTTTTTTAGAAAGACAAGGAAATAGGAGACAAGACTTTCAGGTTAAACTAGTTTTAACCAAAATCAGGTGACTATAACCAGTAGAAAACGCAACCACCTGAGGACCGTAACTCATTTTTTTTTCTTCTTATATTATTAGTGAAGAAGCAAATATTTTCTATTAACAATTTTGTTTCTGATCAGATCTAAACTAAAACACTTTTCTTTAAGAAAAGTTTAGTATTTTGTTAATTAAGTTAAAAATATTTATTATTAATCATTTTGGAGAAATTACATGTTGAAAATTATTTATGCTGTTCTTAATAAATAATTAAAATATTTATTAGCAATACAGCACTGCACTCCATAGCTGTCCTGTTTTCTGCATATTTCCATACTTACTTATTTACTTTTTATCTTCAGTAATGAGTGAAGGTAATTTTCAACAATTTAATCTTTTGCTTCATACGTATTCCAGGCCAAATTAATAGTATCACTTTTACTTAGAAGTTATATGTCGATGAAATAATTGTTACTTGAAACGTATACCACGGGTATCAATTAGAGATGCAGTGATCCCTTTTTTTCCGATCAAATTTGATACCGATACCTGGGATGGGTGTATCAATTGATATCTGATAGTTATCTGATTCAACTATTGAATGAATAAACCATTTATCTTTGACAACTTTTCCCTTAATATAATAATTTTCTCAAAACAGGTAACAAATAAACACAGATATAAATGTACTTTATATTATTTATTAACAAATAGATAGCAAAAAATAAGAAATATCAGTTCCATGTAAATGTACTGCATCGGATTAATATTATGTTATCAAGCTAATTAGTTAACTTTGGAGCAGATATCATGTATCTCTAGTATCAGTAGTCCCACATAAAATGTCAAAAGAGAGTATATTTTACAGTGCAATTGAGTTTTTAATGTCTCGTGGGAAAATGTCCCAAGAATCCATGGAAGTAACGTGGTTCTTCCAATCAGGCTGAAGTGGAGGATTATTCAGACCCATCAAACATCCCAACCAGAAGCACTCAGAGGTCAGAGATCTCAGATCCGCCTCCACCTCCTGTGAGTTTTGACCTCCGTGTCCAGGGAAGCAAGTCTGACGAAAGAAGAAAAATTACAGTTTAACTTGATCAGTAGTTGTTAGCTGTTAGGTTTACAAAGCTGAAACACCTGTCATGCCTTTAGAAGATCTTCTTTGCTGCTGTGGAACAGCGCCACCTTTAGGTTCTGAACTGTCAGCTGTCTGAACTCTTGAACCTGGAACAAAGGGACCATTGGGGATTGGAAGAGGTCTAACTCTACTAGCTCCATTCATGATCCAGTGAAGACACCAGATCTACAGTCCAGTACCTTCTGAATCATTCCTGTGGTGGACTCAGCCAGTCGAAACACCTCCTCTATCTGGTCCCTTTTTCTCCTCATTTCTTCAGATGCAGCTCCAAAGGTTTTCTGGAAAAATCAGATAAAAGTTTAGACCAAAGAACCGGCAGCAGCTGAATAAACTACAGAGTCATGTCTTTCTGAGAATCTATTGCACCTGGATCAGATCCTTGGCCTCCTTTGGGCCGACGTTCCTGGACTTCAGCTGATCTTTGGTTTTAGGCCACTGCAGCAGTTTCAGGTTGTCGTACATCTCAGTCAGTCTGGTTTTACTGACTGGGTCGTTCATGCTCTCAGTGTTTGATGTCTTTAATGACACAGCCACATTTGCAGCCACTCTGTTCACACAGAGAGAACAGAGATCTAGAGACTTTGTCTCACAATGATATTTGGAACATGTTCTAAAGCTGTTTTAGCTATTGATGTTTTTACACCACCTCTGTTTGAATGATCTTAGTTCTTCTTCTTTCTTCTTCAGAGCAGACCTATGGATGGAGTCATTTACTGATCAGAGAACAGCTGGAGCACAGCTGGTTACTTTAGTGAGTTTTGTTCTCATTTGCTGTCTTTATTGTGTTTCACCACAGATAAATACTCACCTGGCCTCATTCAACTTCTGCCTGTAAAAAGCCTCCATCTCAGCCAAACTGTAATCCAAACAATTCTGGTTAATTTTGATTCAAGGATTTGTTGATATTTATCAAGTCAAATGTGCTAAAAAAACCAGACCTTTGTTTTTGTTCACATTGATGGCAGCTAGATTCCATCTTCATTTCTGTTTTCAATCTTTTGCTGAGAGACAACAGTTATCACAATTTTTCCTTGGTTCAGGATGAACTTGTTATCTGGCTCTCTGGATACTGGGACTACATAAAGCTAACATAATTTATAACAATTTATAAACAAGAACTATAAACAATCTTATAGGATGGGATGCATCAAGCCTTTTTCTCTGCTATCACATTTCATTCATCTCAAAGCTATCAAAATATGGACATCTTCTACTTTACCAGGATGGTTTCAGTATGTCTATATTAATAAAAGCTCTTAAGACCAGTTATGGTGAAGTTAAAACTTGTTCTCCTTAGAAAAACAATACATTGATTGTTGTCTGAATATAGTTCAACCTGTCATTCCATTAAAAAACATATTAGATGTCTGATTTACTGATTAAATTAAACAAGATTTTGCAATTTAGATTTTGTTTCATTAACGATAACCAGGTGTGTAATGACATTTGCAAAAATGGTTTTAGATCAATTTTACCATTTCTTTTCTTCTAAAACTAATGCTTCAACTCAGCAACTAAGATCATGACAAGTTTTTGAATGTTTTATTACCAAATGAATGTAATGTTTTCATATTGAAAAGTGTATTAAAGACATATTTAAGTATATTTACCTTTGTGTCATTGTACCATGAGCTGCGTATGATGGGCTGTGAGAACACACAGGTTCAATTTCACTTTTTTATTTTTAAAAACCAACTGTAATACATTTTAGTATTTAACCTCCCTCAGGCTTCCAACAGAACTTTCTCAAATCTGTTACATATGATCACTTAATGTATTTTAATTTGAAAAATTTCATCAACAAGAAGTAAATCTACACCTTACCTTTCCGGATGCAAACGTTTCCTAGACATCTTCGTCTTTGCTTGATCAGTTTGTAAAAGATTAAGATATATTTTATAACCAGCTTCAAAACAGGTTTTTCTACTAAATATAAATTGCTGATATAAACTGCAAAGATTTTTAACTGAAAGTACTAGTTTTGTATAGTTAATATTCAGAAAAAGAGAATAAAAACGATGTTACTTACAGATGAAAAATGTTTTCTGTTTTTGTCTCGCTAAGATCTTTTTGTCACTCTGGGAGTAAACTTGTTATCCAGAAACTTGTTATAGAACTTGTAGAGAGGAAATGACTGCTGCTTGCTGGATTGTTTTAGTTTTGCTTTCACATTAACCAACAGAACCTGTTTGTCAAGCAGTATCTTATGCTTTAAATGTCAAAAGAAATCACCTGTTTTCATTGAATTTAATTGAAAACCAGCTTTAACTGATGGAACTGTTGTGATTCTTGCTATAAAAGCATAACTTGATTTTCCTAAACCTTCACAGTTTAAAGCGAAGCATCTCCTAGCTCACGCATATTATGTGGTTGGATCGACAGGTACATGTCAAGAAGCCTTTCATTTAAATGTTTTTCTTTTACAAAATCCACATGTTGTGTTTTACCATTTAAAAACTGGCTTGCCTGATATCTTACTGTAGTGCAAGACAATCACACATCACACAATAACAATAGAAATATTTTTAGAATTGAATAGAAAGCTTTTTTTATTCATTTTATTGATGTTTCCAGTTATATAATTTTAAGACAGAACCACTGTCATTTTGCAGAAGTAAAGGAATACAATGACCCTTTGAAATATAAACAGAGGGTGAAAGTAATGATTTAAATTTGCTTCTGTCACTGGGATTTAGTAGCGTTCCATTAATATTTGTTGTTTTTTTGGAATAGTAAATTTTATGTCTTTTCTTCTGTTAGATTTACAGTATATTGAGTAAAATAGAGGGTAAGTGCATCTGCAATCAAGCAACAGATATTTAGTTGCATTTTCCACTAAAGCTGTGGACCAAAAATCTTTCCTACTTCGTTGTTTTATCTTCCTATAAGATTACTACCTTTTTACAGTGGAAATACAAAAAATATTCAGGGTCTGAAAGAAAGCAGGCTTCATACCCTGCACCTCACAGATAGATCATTCATCCAATATGGATAGGGAATACTTTGCGCTGTTATAGACAGATATCTCTTTGTTTAACACTTGATTCTGATCCCAACACTCTATTAATATAAGTGTGACAAAGTGGATGAAGAATTAGGATTTTTCTAAAGAGATATACTACGAATTTTATTTTTAATCATTCATCTATTATCTTTTACCTACAGTATCTCCAGCAGTATTTGGGTGAAAGGTGTGGTACAGGACAGGTCACAAGCTCCTGGCAGGGCAATACAGAGTAACACAACCATGCACCCATGTTCTGTTTTTGGTGTTGGAGGAATCTGGAGTACCTGGAGAAAACCTGCACATAACTATGAGGACATGAAAAGTTCATGTTAAAGTCCCTGGGCTGTGATTCAAATTTAGGACCTCTTGTTGCAAGGCACAGTGCAACTAACTGCATCAGTTTGCATTTTCAGTCAATTCAATATAATCATTAGACAATTAATATTGATATCTTATTGCCTAAAGAGAAGGGATTCTATCTTTCTATCTTATTTTCCTTTTTTTTTTCATGTTTTAGGTTGTTAGTGACAGGTTTATGTCCATATGGGAGAAATCCCATATGTCTATACCTATTTCTACAATGTTGCTAAAGAGGTTGTGATTTAATGTCATCCAAATCAGAACTGGTCATAGAGCTAATAAGTCCAGTTTAGTTTTCCTTTTTACTTTTAAGTCTTTGAATTTCAAATTATAATCACAAACAGTGTGTAAATGCCATAATCCACCACAGCAGTGCACAAGTCATACAAAAACAGGAAAACAGGTCTGACTAGTTCAAGAGCCCAAAGTTAGTTTATCATTTCTGCTTTAGGACATACAGACTGCTTCACCTTCAGAAAAGACGAGACAGACAAGAAATTGAAAGATGTTTAAATTTCTGAAAAAAAGGTAAGAGCAATAACTTCCTCTATATATGGGCTTCAGTTTACATGTTAAGAGTTAAAAAAATAAAAATAAACAGGTTAAGAAAATGTTTAAGACTGACCACGAATAAATCTAATAACTATTAAGTTGTAGGAAATCCTTTTAAAAGCAAAGGATTTAGTCACTCCTCAAACTATCCAATGGGGAAAACGTAACTTGGAGAAAAAGAAAAAAATATTTTCTTTTTCTGTGGAAATCTGCAACATTAGTTGCTAGTTTACCAGCAGCAAAAAACAAAACAAACAAACAAAAAAAAACATTAAGTTCAGTTTGATTCTATAGCGGTAACTCAGAAGATATTCTCTAAAAGTACTTTAGTTCAGTTGAGTCATACAATCAGATAAACCATTTTAGAAGGGAAAATTATTGCAGCAGCATAAGGACATACACGAGCAGTACATAGTAAAGGAGTAAAGGAGTAGTTCGTAGATTTATAGTTCATAGATTTTTAATTAAACCAAAATCCAATTTCCGGGGGAAACCCCTACCCTAAACCTAACATGTATTCCTTTAATCCCCGGATGCTTAATTAAAGCAGTGATCAGACATCCTGCACCGAACTGGAACACATTTTATACATTAATGTATTTCTGATTCCTAAAATATAAATATAATGAATTAATTTTGTCAATCTCTACAAACATGAAACTCTATGTAATCTAATGAAAGACGAATTCAATGAAATTACCAAAAAGCATTGTATTCAAACTGATAAACAATGGCCCACATTTTATCTACTTCTTCTTTTTAGGTGGGGGAGTGGCAAGGTGCTATTTGCAGTATTTTGACTATGTGACTATTTTTTAGTTCAATTTGATATACAAATATTTGACAATGTTCACAAGTGTAATAAACC